GACGTAAGTGTCAAACTCCACACTTAGAATGAGTAATGGCGGACGCGCTTGCAAATGCCTTCTGTTGACCTTTAGGCGGCTGTACACAACACGCATAGCAAAAAACAGGGGCAGCAAGATGGCGCCGGTAATTGCTCCGAAGTGGATGTTATTTATTCTCATGAAAAACAGGACAACATGCAACATTATATCAACTAGATAAATGATGTCACCAATTCTGTTGATTCAATAATAACTCTCAAAATGCTTGATATCACCAACGTTCTAAATTGGAATTGATAGAATTGATGCTGGAATCCTTTTGACCCATTGATGGGGAGAGAGATAATAGCCCATGCCCCCTTACCTGAATTGACTAGATGATTTAAAATGATTAATTGACGAGTGGTTTTGACTATTTATCACATTTTTGTTACTAGTGCACAAAGTATGTGCATTTACAATAGATAGATATGAAATATGTAAAATGGCACATGTAAATCAAGATATACAGCACAATTTCTTGAGCTAAAAGCAACCATTTTTCACCTTATTGCAGTGGAATGAGAGCTACCTACCTCAAACAGTCTGTGTTTTCTATATCCCTAATAGTATAATCTATGTGTTGTGGCTTAGTGGTAATTAAAGCAGAACGATGATAAAGAGGAGAGGATGGAGCACTCGGGGAGATTAATGTGACAAGAGAGGGCTGATGCTCGCCTATAACAATTAAATACAGACCCACCGGGATTTGGGTTCAAAATATGTGGAAAATATGGTTCATTTGTGATTTAAAGGCCATGAGACAAGCTAATAAAGCAATTGTGAAGCTGTGTGGCGGTATTTGTCACTGATCCACTGTAGTGTTTATAAGTGACAGACAATTATATATAGTATGTATGGTTTACTTTTTTTTTTTATACCTTATGTACATAATTTTGGTGGGGAGAACATTTAAGCCCGTCTGTTCTGACCCAGCATATTCCTGCCGAGAAGCGTAGCTAACCACTCTGCCACATTGCCATGAGTAAGCTTTGGATGATTGAGATGTAAAACTGTTGGAGCAGGTTGGTTCTGACTGGTCTTATAGATACAGATAGATAGTTTATTGATCCCCCGTTGGAGAAATTCAGGAGTCCAGCAGCAGAAGACTCATTCAGGTCTGTTGTACAGTCTGACAGCTGAAAGAACAAAGGATCTCTTGAAATATTACATTTTTGCAGAGTTGATCTGAGTGTGGTTCCTGTTTACGTGATTTATAGATGTAGGTGCTGAGGAATGGAGTGATGGAGTCGTGATTGGGATTGCTTCATGAGCGATGTGGGGTTAAGGGGGAAGTCGACAATGATTTCCTGAGTTGTTGCCGTATTGAGTTGGATATAACCAGTGTCTGAGCAAAAGCTGCTCAGTTAGTACTAGAACTCCCAGAGCCGTCAATTTTTTGGCTTTTAGTTTTGGAAGTGTAAAAACAGTTTTGGTTTTCAGAACTTTGCAACTTTTTCTGTTTCTGTAATTAAGGTCTATGTCATTATTTTTTTCTGAAATGATCTTTTTTTTATGTGATTAGTAACACATCTTAGTCAATTATAGCCACTGTTGGTCTCTTGGCAACCGACATTCTGTAAACTGAAATCAAGTCAAGTCGCTTAGTTTTGCACACCGTTTTAAATGTGTCCGCGTTTATTAAAAAATATTTTTCTTCTCTATTGTCTTGGGATCGTTCAAATAAATTGACTACAATAATATGGTATAATGAACAACGTTTTATGAGTGTGAGTGGCTGCATAGTGGGAGTTGAGTTTATAAAGTGCTTCGAGTCCTGTTAAAAATTACGAATGTGACATATGTGACAATTTATGTTCTACGTCATGGTGCTACGTCCCTTAGGACTTCGCTAGTGGGATATCACTCGTGACCCCCAGGTCACACGCCAGAGAGATCAAAATAATTTGCTCCAATCACCAGCCACCCTCCTCTATAAATGCCCCTGCACAAGGCCGCACCCCCTTCTTTCACTCTGGCGCCGTTTGAGATCTACCACAGTACTTACTTCTGAGATGTCTTCCTTGTTTGTCCGAATTCCCTTTGCCCTCCGGCGCTGGACGTTGTCGCTGGATCCAGACGGTGGAGGACTTCACCTCTGTGGGTCCCACCACTCGAGGAAGGAGGAGGATGCAACCCACGTTGTGCCCGCGGATGGACCCGTTGGTCCATTACGCGACACGTGAGTGGCCTAAGCCCCTAGCAGCCAAGAGGCCTGCTCTGGGGCACGACATGTACAGTAGGTCCCATTCCGTTTTGTCGTCTTCATTCACGCTTCTCGGGAATCACGCAGCTGCGTGAAAAATAGTACATCTTATCGCCACAAGGTGGCAGGCTAAGTCCGCTTTAGCTCTGCCAGCGACTTAGACGCTCAGGTATAAGACTGCGTGCAAACCTGTCTAGCACAGAGGTGCTTTGTTGGCCGAATGGATAGCATTAAATACAAGGACCTGGAGAACCCAGGTTCGATTCTTGTCTGAGGCACAGCTTTTGGTTGCTTGTGGCAAAATTGTTTTTTCATTAAACAATTATTATATAACATCTTGTCTTTAATGTCTGAAAAAATCTAGGTGAAATTCACTAGTGTTATACGTTAAATATTGTGATATGTTTTGATAAACCGAACGTTACGTTACATCCTCCGCTCTGGCCCCGAGAGCAGCTGCTGTGACCCCCGCTCTGACAGCTCAGTGAACGCACTGCCGTCTGGGCTCCGAGCGCGGACCATAGACACGCGGACATCACGTCTCTCTCTCTCTGCTCGCGTCTCTCTCTCTCTGCTCGCGTCTCTCTCTCTGCTCGTGTCCCTCTCTCTCTGCTCACGTCTCTCTCTCTGCTCACGTCTCTCTCTCTGCTCGTGTCCCTCTCTCTCTGCTCACGTCTCTCTCTCTCTGCTCGCATCTCTCTCTCTCTCTCTGCTCGCATCTCTCTCTCTCTGCTCGCATCTCTCTCTCTCTCTGCTCGCATCTCTCTCTCTCTCTGCTAGCATCTCTCTCTCTCTGCTCGCATCTCTCTCTCTGCTCGCG